TGTTTGCCAGGCTGGTCTCGAACTCCTGACCTTAGGTGATCCACCCACCTTGGCCTCCCAAAGTGCTGGGGATTACAGGCGTGAGCCACCGCACTCGACCCTGTTTGTAGTTTTAATGTGTTAGCCAACTTGTATAAAGGGTCAGCCAGTAAATATTAGGCTTTGCAGGCCACAAATACCTCTCTCATTCACATTCTTCTTCTTCTTTTTTTTTTTTTTTTTTTTTGGTCTCATTCTGTTGCCTAGGCTGGAGTGCAGTGGTGTAATCTTGGCTCATTGCAATCTCTATCTCCTGGGTTTGTTTTTTTTGTTTTGTTTTGTTTTTTAATATTTAAAAAATGTAGGAATCATTTTTGGCTCATGGCCTAACCACAGGTTTTGATAATTTAAATTTGTTTTATTATCTGGGACGTGATTATAAGCTTGCTAAGGCTTTTTTCCTTTTTGAGACAGAGTCTCGCTCTGTCACCCAGACTGGAGTGCAGTGGTGTGATCTTGGCTCACTGCAACCTCCACCTCCTGACTTCAGCTGATTGGCCTGCCTCAGCCTCCCAAATAGCTGGGACTACAGGCGCATGCGACCACACCCGGCTAATTTTCGTATTTTTAGTAGAGACAGGGTTTCACCATATTGGCCAGGCTGGTCTCGAACTCCTGACCTCGTGATCCACCTCCCTCTGCCTCCGAAAGTGCTGGGATTACAGGCATGAGCCACCGTGCTGGCACTCCTTATGCCTCCCCCCCCCACCCTTTTTCTTTTTTTTTTTTTGAGACAGAATTTCACTCTTGTTGCCCAGGCTGGAGTGCAATGGCACGATCTTAGCTCACTGAAACCTCCACTTCCCAGGTTCAAGCGATTCTCCTGACTCAGCCTCTTAAGCTGAGATTACAGGCATGCACCACCACACCCGGCTAATTTTTTTTTTTTTTTTTTGAGATGGAGTCTCGCTCTGCTGCCCAGGCTGTAGTGCAGTGGTTTGATTTCGGCTCCCTGCAAGCTCTGCCTCCCGGGTTCACGCCTTTCTCCTGCCTCAGCCTCCCATGTAGCTGCGACTTAAGGCGCTCACCGCCATGCGCGGCTACTTTTTTATGATTTTAGTAGAGACGGGGTTTCTCCGTGTTGGTGAGGCTGGTCTTGAATTCTCGACCTCAGTCTGCTAAGGCTTTTATAAGAAAGTATCACACACTGGTTGGCTTAAACAGCAGAAATTTATTTCCTCACATTTCCAGGAAGCTGAAAATCCAAGGCGAAGGTGTCAGCAGGCCTTTCCTTGTTTCCTTGGTTTGCAGATAGCTATTTTCTTTCTTCCCTCTGTGTTAATCTCTTCGTATAGAAGGACAACAGTCATTGGATTAGGGTCTATCCTAAGACCTCATATTTACTTAATTGTAACTTAAAGATGCTATTTCCAAATATCTTAAGGTGTACTGGGGGTTAGGACTTCAATGTATTAATTTTGAGGAAACTGATAAAATTCTAGATTGCTTAATTTGAGGAAAGGAGATTCATTCTCCTGGTTTTAGTGAACTTAAAAAGTAAAGCTCTGATGTACCAGTTTTTTTTGTTGTTGTTTTGGGACAAGAGTCTCTGTTGCCCAGTTGGGAATGCAGTGGCATGATCTCAGCTCACTGCAACCTCCACCTCCCGGATTCAAGTTATTCTTGTGCCTCAGTCCCAACCCTCAAGTATCTGGGACTACAGGCCGCATAACCATGCCCAGCTAATTTTATTTATTTATTTATTTAGTATTTTTAGTAGAGTCGGGGTTTTGCTATGCTGGCCAGGCTGGTCTCTAGCTCTCCTGGCCTCAAGTGATCCACCTGCCTTGGCCTCCCAAAGTGCTGGGATTACAGGTGTGAGCCACTGCACCCAGCCAAGTAACATAATTTTTGATAGGACTAGATAAATGGCTAACACTACTAAGCATTGTTTGGTTTTTGAATCCTTCCTACTATGAAATTGGAATGATTCTGAAACTAAATCTTGTTAGACCCTTAGGTTTTAACTTGGAATGTAGCTGTTAGGGTAAAAATGTAGTTTTTGTTTAAAATTGTAATGAACTGCCCTGAAATAATGCTATAATAGTGTCGAAGGTTAGTATGTAAATGTTTAATTAATGAATTCCAGCTTGACTTTCCCTACTTTAATCCTTTTGTAGGCAGCCTGCTTCTGCAAAGTGGTACGATCGAAGGGACTATGTCTTCATTGAATTTTGTGTTGAAGACAGTAAGGATGTTAATGTAAATTTTGAAAAATCCAAACTTACATTCAGGTAAGTTAAGCTTTTTATCCAGTGATGTAAAATAGTAATTCACACAACTGAATAACTTGGCTTGTCTTTTCGTTGAAGATATTATTAATCTTTGTCTCTTTGAAGAGGCTTAATTCTTTCTTTATTATTTTATACAGTTGTCTCGGAGGAAGTGATAATTTTAAGCATTTAAATGAAATTGATCTTTTTCACTGTATTGATCCAAATGTAAGTAGTCTTGATGCTTTAATCCAGATTTAAGTTGTGAGGAAACAGACATACCAAGTATTCTTTTTAGCAATAAGCATTAGCTGTTTTTCTTAACAGTGAGGTAGACTAGGTATATTTACATTTTGTAGAATATTTCCTCCAAAATTGGTTTCTGCATACTTTTTGTTTTTGCTATCACTGTTTGGGCTTAGAGAAGTATCCTTGAGGCTTGTTTTATCTTTTTTTGTTTGTTTTGTTTTGTTTTTTGTTTTTTGAGAAGGAGTCTCACTCTTGTCGCCCAGGCTAGAGTGCAGTGGCCAGATCTCAGCTCACTGCAAGCTCCGCTTCCCGGGTTTATGCCATTCTCCTGCCTCAGCCTCCCGAGTAGCTGGGACTACAGGCGCCCGCCACCTCACCCGGCTAGTTTTTTTGTATTTTTTA